TTGACTATCACTCTATATAGACTCATACAATCAGATACAACAATCATTTATCAAATATTTATACTGATAAATTGAACATGCACTTAAATGGAATGAGAGGCTGGATGCTTTCCTATTGAACTGTCAGCAACTGAACTGCAGTGCTCAAATTTCAAATATAGTCAATTAAGCTACAAACTCAATGTTTCCTTTTTTATATGATTGCAGCTCATCATATTAATGGAGTGTTTCAGTAGTTAGCAGTAAACCGGTTTCCTCACCTGAATATGTTCGTAGATTTGTGATGGATCTTTGGAATGGAAATATGGATATTTTATTTGTAAACATCATATTTTTCGCTTATTTCAGTTAATGTAATAAAACTAGGGAGCTGAGCCAGTAGTAGTGCTCACAGTGTCGCGTAAACATGACTGAAGACGCGAAAAGAGGCGGAACAGACGAACCGATTCAACCGAGTGAGTCTTTCAGGCTGGAACCGCTCCGATTGATTCAAACTCGTGACTCCGATCATTCAGTTCAAGCGATTCACTAGCAAAAACCAGATCAAAAGAGCCATTTTCGAATTTCGACATCGCTTGTAATGATTTTAAAAAGCACGTAGTGATGGTGAAACGGAGCTTTTCGAAACTCCGAATCAGTTAAACCACTGCGTCGCAAAATGATTCACTGCTTCGAAGCGCTCGAATCGGATCGCGAATCATTTGATTTAGATCAGGACACAGGGGGTTCGCGAATCTTTCTTTCTTTCTACATTACAAAATATCAAACCATTAAGGCAGTACAGCTATTAAAACAAAAAATAAATTAAAAAAAATAAAGTATACACAAATACAACATTCCTTAAGAAAATTAACCGTGGTTTAACTATTGTCAAAGTGCAGTAACCATGTTTTTGTATAACCACAGTTTTACTACAAATACCATGGTTGTACTATGGTAAGTGTAGCAAAACCATGGTTAATTTATGGTTACCCTGGTTTTACTATAGTAACCATGTTTTGTTTTCTTTCACTTTAAGAGGACACACAGGATGAATACAAGGAAGCAGGTTTCACTGCTTCAGGATGAACAGAAGTTCAGATAGTTTCCATGTATTCGTCTAGATCAACTCTGAATAAAGAAAAGAGAGATTTAGAGCCAGATTTTTATGCATGAGAAATTTAGCTAGCAGGAAACACAAACTACTTAAGTTATATTTTCCTATATTCTCTTTCGATTACTCAAACAATCCAAAGAAAACATGTTTAAAACAGAAAGAAAAGTCACTTACAAAATGAGATATTTTATTGTAGCCCAGTTTGTGCTGATTACAGTGTTATTAAACTTTAGACATTCAAATGTTTGTAAGCAACTGAAAAAAGCACAAATGTCATGGCATGTCAAAACTTTTCCAGGGCCCCAAAACACCCTCGACCCCAGAGGGTTAATGAACATGAATAAATCTGACCAGAATGTCTCTGTGTACAAAACAAGTGAATGAATCTTCCTCAGAAGAGACAAAAACAACAGCTCACTTCAGTGTCTGACTTGTATTACATAATTACGTCCATAATTACGTTTGTAGTGCAAAGAGTTTTAGAGTTTACTGCACTTTGTTATTCTAGTTATTTATAGTTTACACTCTAAAAAATGCTGGGTTAAATATAACCCAGCGCTGGGTTATATTTAACCCAGCATTTTTTAGAGTAATAGCTTACTTTCGCATTTCAAAATAAGGTGGATGGCAACCATCTGAAATGTCACTGCAGCTCATTGTAGGCCTATTTACCATGTTTTTATCAGACACCATCACAGTACCATGGAACCATTTCGACGGTACACGTACATTTGGAAAATGTTAAAAAACAATTTGATAGCATCACTGTACCATAGTACAGCCACAGTCATTTTTGCACAGGATTTAGATGCACGGATATTAAATTTACACGACTTTTGAGCCAAAGAGAACATGTTCCGCAGGTGATTTAGTGACAGAAACATTCAGCAGAAACGGTCTGTAATGGAGCTCGTGGGGTGAATGTTCTGTTCACATCGTCACAGAGCAGTCATATATTCACAGCGAGCATCTGAGCGATCACTGCACCCGCGAGGCCTTTCTGAAGCTACATTTACAGCAGGCTCAGAGAGTCACAGACAGACAGATGACACACGCGACGCTCATTACCTCAGAGTCTAATCAAAAAAAGATTGGGAAGTTTCTAAAGTTCCCAATGTTAAGACTGAAACTAGAGTTGCATGCGCTGAAGAACATGTGAGAGGTGTTTCTATAAAATAACAATCAACCTAGCAACCGCATAGCAACACCCTGGCAACACCTGCAACATCACGTCAGCATCAGATGCGTAAATGCAACAGCCTCAGAGAACAGTGTTAGTTATAATATAGTGAGGATATAGTGCCTTAAGCTCAGGAGAGTCCAGCTAAAGCAAGAAAAAACCTGTGAGAGATACACAGCTGGAGGAGAAAGAATGTAAAATTGAGCAAGACAGGGAAAGTAACTTGCAGATTAATACGAATATATTAATGTTAATTAATTCGTAATTTTAACGTTTCATAAACGTCATTATTTGGTCAGTCTGATTAGTCTGATTTGTAATTAACTGCTGGAATTGACTCTAATTTGAACCTTAAAAACCACCATAATCCGACACACATCATCTATATATTCTGACCCCAGCCATATCGCATATTTCATAATATCTCACATATTTTATATTATAGATAAAATATATATAAAATACTTATATGCACTATATAAATTAAAATATATAATATTTATATTATATATTTTCATTTTATATCACAAACATTATATATACACAATATCAGTTAACCTGTTTTAACTGATCTGTTTTATATGTAATTTAAAAATATTTATTATAAAATATGAAATATAAATATATTAAAATAATCAAAAACAATATTAAATCACATTTGATGTAACACATAATTTAAAAAAATTTTTTATATATTTTTTATATTATAAACAATGTAATATAATTTATATTTAAATGTATTTAAAAATGTAATAATTGTAATATGTAATATCAATGTAATGCAATATCATTTATATTTAAATATATTTAAAAATGTAATATAATTTCATATACATATATTAAAATAAAGCAAGATATTAAATCACATATAATGTAACAATTTTATATTATATATTTTTATTTTATGTAAATTATTTAAAAAATATTTAATTAAATATAAATATATTAAAATAAACAAGATATTGCATATGATGTATATATTATGTATATATTTAAATTAACATTTAAATGTTTTTATGTATTACTTATTTACATATATCATCAAGTATTTTTGATCTGTATGTCATGATGATTGTCAGTCACTAGTATCTGACTGCAGTGAAGCTCATCTCTCTCTCTCTGTATCTCGCCATCTCTTTTTCCCCGGTATCCTAGAAACCAGCACAGCTACATGCATTTACTCACTGCTGAGAAATATGAGATTACAACAATGTAAACTGAAAAAAAAAAGAAGTACTGAATGATGAATAAAATGAAGCACTAAGAGAAAGACAAAACAACATCTCATGCAACAGGAACAAGAGTAAAATAAATGTCATGTAATGCGTGATGAGCTGTGTGAATGACTGCCGTTCTAATGCATGAGCTTTAATGCTCATTATCATAAAATAAACCTCATGTCAAGCTGCATGTACCCACTTATTACATAGAAACTTATGACATCAATCAATTGCCTGGTTAGCAATCACTTATACGGTTTAGTGTAATTATATACAAAAGTATTCCAGAGAGCCATGCAATATAATACTAATTCATATAGTTAATGTTTTAGGTGGATTCTAACTGGATTAAGTGTCTGATCAAACAGAGATGATATTTACATGAATAAATATTCCTACACACATGAGCAACTGAGTCTGAAGATATACTATGGAGTCAATTCAATGCCACATATATTTCCACATTAATTTAAGTATTGCAAAAGAAAAAGTTTTGCAAACGAAAATGAAAGTATTAAAAAAAATAAATGTGCTTTTTGCAAACAAAAATAAAGAATTGCAAAATATAAATGAAGTATTGTGAAAAAAAAAGTTTTGCAAAAAATAAATGAAACAGCAAAACAATGATTTTGCAACATTTTTCATGGACATAGCTACTAATTTATTTGTAAGGTTGCTTTTATTTTGTGTTTCATGGCTGGTTGCTAGGGTGTTCTGGGTGGTTGCCAAGAGGTTGTTTCTTCTGGAGTGTGGCTGTGTGGTTGCCAGGAGGTTACTAAGGTGTTCTAGCTGGTTGCTATGTGGTTGCTAGGGTGTTCTGGGTGGTTGCTAGGGTGTTTCTGGGTGGTTGCTTCTTCTGGAGTGTTGCTATGTGGTTGCCAGGAGATTGTTTCCTCTGGGGTGTTGCTATGTGGTTGCCAGGAGGTTGCTAAGGTGTTCTGGGTAGTTGCCAGGAGGTTGTTTCCTCTGGGGTGTTGCTATGTGGTTGCCAGGAGGTTGCTTATGTGTTCTGGGGTGGTGCTATGTGCTATTTGTCAAATCAACAAATTATAAAATTACACTATATTTTAAAAACTTTCAAAGGAAATGTAAGCAGTACTTGTCTGTGCAAAAGTAGCTGCCACAATGCCAAGTTGCTGAGTGGTTGCCAGGAAGTTGATAAGGTCTTCTAGGTTGTTAGCAACCTCCTGGCAACCACCCAGAAGACCTTAGCAACCTCCCGGCAACCCCGTAAAAGACCTTGGGTGATATGGTGGTTGCCAGGAGGTTGCTAAGGTGTTCTGGGTGGTTGCAATGTGTTTTCTTCCTGTCTGGTGTGAAATGCATCTGCCGTGATCTTCTGTTCTGTAGATGCGTCTCGGGTTCCGCCTTCATTGTGCGTCTTTTTTCTGCTCCAGCAGGTGAAATGCTGCATCTGATCACTTAATAAAGTCCTCAACAACACACACGATTTGAGCACAAACACTTCAGGACAACGCATAAAACATAAAAACACTCAGCTGAGTCTCATGATATTTTATTCTATTCTGTACATATGTAACTTCATACATCACATTAACATCAGGCACAACTTAATTAGAAGCTCGTCTGCGAATCGATTTGTTGCACGCCACACAATCTATTAAAGTCACAGTGACGTCTGTTCTTCATGAACACTCCTGCATTGCTTTTATAGGGAAAAGGAATGTCGTACATTTTTGATGGTCAAATGACTCACTTTAAAACAAGCAGAACAGAGAACCGCTGCTCTAATAATTCAACCATTTTCCATCAGTGGATCTGAATGGTTTGGAGACATTCACATGTATCTGTTTTTGATGTACTCGCGGTACATGAGCACGTCCTCCTGACACAGAGTCCTGACCCAGCCACGACCCGTCTGAACGTGACACTCGAACACCTCGCGGCTCTGGATGTCCACCTCTGGAGCAGAAACCTCATAGATGCTGTCTGACGGGAACAGAGACACCGGAGCGCTGCCAGGAAAAGCACAGGGGGAAAAAAACACAGAAATGATATTGAAATTTTTTAACAAATACTATAATATTAAACACAATTTAATTCAAATAATTGAATATTAAAACATTTTCATTAAAAAAATATGCATGAATAATTTCAAATGATAATTCTAATCTAATCTAATTTAATTCTAATAATTGAATATAAAATAAAACTACTTTTTTAAAACTTAAAAAATTGCATTATAACATTTAAACATCCTATAATTTAAAATTATTGAATTCTAATAATTAAATATTAAATAAAACTTTTTAATTTAAACAAATATGCATGAAATTAGATAAACATATTTGAAAATATTATAATATACAATTCTAATAATTGATTTTTTTTTTTTTAAATATGTCTAAAATTAGATTAAATTGAATTCTAATAACTGAATATTACATTTTTATTTTGTAAAGATACGTATTAGAATAAAGATTTTCCAAAACACTGGAATATAAAATTATTTAATTCTAATAACTGAATATTAAATAAAACATTTTTAATATTTAAAGAGATATGCATGAAATTAGATTCAAAATACAAACAATAACAATATAAAATTATTTAATTCCAATAAACATTAAATATTTTTAAAAAAGAATAAGCAGGAATATATATATATATATATATATATGGTGCTATAAATATGTTGTGTATTGAGCAAAATGAGCAAAGGTTACAGTGATACTTAATTTAAATACATATTAACATAAATACTCTCTTTTTTTTCTAATAACATCATGCAAAAGCGACAGCTGATGAAAATAAGCCTTTTGGCTAATTTAAGCACATTTACTGAAATTATTATTAATGTACATCATTTCTTTATAAATAAATGAATGAATAGATAAATAAATAAAAATATTTTAAAATGTTGTTTAATATGCATCTTTAAACAACAACCCAATCTCTTGTCAAGCCTTCACACTCATCCAATCTAAAATAAGAACAAAGAGGCTCGTTTTCTCAGACACTTGCAGAAAAAGGCTTCCCAAAACAAAGTTACTGGGTTAATCTTTTTCACGTTTCCTTGGTTGGTAGATGCACCGGGGACCTGATTATAGCACTTAACACCTGGAAAAGTAAGATTTTCATGATATGCACCTTTAAAGTGTATTAAAATAGAAACCATTATTTTATATTGTAATAACATTTTGCAAGATTACTGTTTTTTTTCTGTATTTTTGATCAAATAAATGCAGCCTTGACGAGCAGAAGACACTTCTTTACTCAAGTCTTACTGATCCCAAACTTTTGAACAGCAGTGTATATATAAAATTTTAATATTTTATTTTTCTCAAATGATCAGAATATTGTCTTATTTAAATGACAAAATCACTTTTCTATTAGTTTGTCTGCTTGTTTCACTCATGCTGCTGATTCAGTTTCCTTCATCTTATTATCCTACTTCCTGAGGAAGTTACAGCAGCGCGTGTCCATTTGAGTCTCACACACACTCAGACAGGAAGCATTACATCATCAGACGAGTGTGTGTGTATGAGAGATTCGGCTCATCCTACATTCGTTCATCTTAAACCTTCACTCACGTTCCTGTGAAGCCTGGATATATATAATACAGCACACTCATAAAGCATTATAAACATTCAGAAAGCCTCGTGTGTGAAAACCAAAACCACAGGCGTCAAACATCAACACATTTCACTGTAAATCATCTGTAAAATAACCATTATAAGGGATCGTACATTATAAATAACGCAAAGATATATAAACAGACTCCACAGGAAGCATTCATTAATATTTGATTCATTTCCAACAGTTGCTTCTCTCATCATAATGTAATATAATGTAGTATGTATCATATATTTGACTTTAACGACACACAAAGTGGATCACATTTATACACAAAGACATACACACACAGACACACACAAACACTAGGGGTTGAACGACTTCTGATTTTTTGAAGTCGACTTTTATGTGATG